TTGACCATTAATGTAAAGCAGGGATGGAGAGCTGGAACAAAAATAACTTTCCCCAAGGAGGGAGACCAGGGCCCCAACAATATTCCAGGTAACAAAGTCAGCTACCATACAGTAATGTAAGCCACATAGAGGACCCCTTTTGCAAGACTTTTGAGAGAAATGCCAATGGATTATGAAGTTCAGCCATTTTCCTATTGGTTTTTAAGGAAGGAGAACAAATAATTAATTTGTAGTTCAAAACCATGCTTGGTTATGTTGACCTGTTTTGGCTTTTGGCAAATTATTTTTAGTTTAATCTTTTTGTTTCTCTTTGCCATTTTTTTCCTTATGCTTGGCTTTCCAATAGGAACTACACAAGCATTACATATCTAATTTTCTGTTTTGTTTTTTTTTTCAGCTGACATTGTGTTTATTGTAAAAGACAAGCCTCACCCAATATTCAAGCGTGATGATGACAACCTCGTCTATACTGCCACTGTTCCTCTTGGAAAGGTAAATAAAGATCATGAATTAAAGCAATTACTGTGTTGACCACTCACTTTTTAACCCCCAAATTTATTTCCAGCTACATATACCACTCTCTCCCTATTAATTTTTGTTGAGATTGCAAGTGCAATGTTAGCTCAAATAATCCACTGGAAGTGGAGGGAAATGATTTTAAAGAAAAAAAGACTCAGTATAAGCAAATGAGGCCCAAACAGCTGGAGGTAGAGCTATCTTGTTACTCTAGACAAGAAACTGTGTTAGTCTCTCTCTACCCAGTTGAACATTAAAATGTCTACCGGCAACATGCTAATACCCCTAGGTGTTTCTGATACTGAAAAGCCCTCTTTCAAGTCCTCCCTGTATTGTATTTTAAGGGTTGCAGTTGCTGCCTGCAGTATGTAATGCTAGACAGTGCAAAGGGAGTTTTCTTTTCCAAAGAAACTATGCAGTGACATGGCTTAGAATGCAACATTCTAAAGTCAAATCCATCAACCAATATGGGACTTAAATGGGGTGAATAATTTTTTATTATTATTTCTGGTGAGCAGTTTAATGCAAGTCAATTATTATTGTTGTTGTACTAGGCACTCACTGGTTGTGTGGTAGATGTACCAACACTTGATGGCAGACTTATCAGCATTCCCATCAATGACATTGTCAAGTAAGTCAGAACGCATCCTAATCTTGCTGTTCCTGTGGTACAAAGGCACAAATTTTCGAGGTATTGGGGTGCCTGCCGATTAGCTGCCCCAACTCATTTTCTCAGGGGCATCTCGGCCAGGAAACTGGACTCCTTTTGACACGCTTTCGTTTCCGTAGGTGACGAACACGGATCCGTAATCAATGATTACCTCTAGTGCTTACAATGTAGATGTCCACAAACAACATAAGAAAATTAAGTTGATAAACTGTGCCAAGTTAAAGTGGTCAGGAGGTTTACAGTGAGTCAGACTACAAAAAATGAAAACTAGACCTTTTTGTGGAGCATTGTGCAGTAGCATATGTAGGGGAGGGACCCAGGCCTCAACCTAATTTATGGGCTAAAGTGCAGCGGGGCTAAAATACAGGTCACTTTTCCACACGTCAGAGTACAGGTCACCGTGATACAGATAAACAAACTGCATTAAAAGTGTCTCCTAGCCCTAATCTCCTAACAAAATGCTCTATTAGATCAAGTGGAATCTGTGTGGTTTGGTAATTTATCGATGGAGCAGTGACCTGTACTCTTGACCTGTAGAATGTGATCTGTACTTTAGACCGGGCAGCTAAAGTGATAAACACAGGGCTGAGAGAAAATAATATTTTTTTAGTTTGGGCCCTTGCTCCTCTTCTCTCAGGGTTGGCATGAAAGGGATTTTCACCTTCTTAAAGATCTAGATCTGCCATTGTTGTGTCAAGCAACAAGCTTTGAAAGAAAATGTTGCAGCTTCATAAGTTTGTCAGGAAAGACTATTATCATACCATTAAACTTTGATAACTTCACATTCCTTTTTCAGACCTGGATATCAAAAGATAGTTCCTGGTGAAGGAATGCCCATCTCCAAAAATCCTAATACAAAAGGAGATCTTATAATTCAGTTTAATATCGAGTTCCCAAACCAACTGAATCCAGA